CATCGGACCGGCGGACAATCTCAAGGCCATTGGAGTGCCCCTCGTGCAGGCGCTGCCGGTGGGGAAGCGGCTCTACGATCACATGTGCCACTTTGGGCCCACCTTTGTGACCAACACCACGGGCCAGACGATGTTCAGCGCCCGACTGGGTCCTTCCGTGATAAAGGAGTTTCTGCTGGGCCGCGCGGACACGTTCCTCTCCAGCATTGGTGGCGTGGAGACGCTCACCTTCCTGAAGGTGCCACGAGCCCGAACGCCCCCCACGCAGCCAGACATCGAGCTGATTCAGGTGGCCGGGAGCCTGGCCAGCGACGAGGGCACGGCCCTGGCACAGGGCGCCAACTTCAAGCCGGAAATCTACGACAAAATGTACAAGGAGCTGGCCCTCAGGCAGCAGGATCACTTCACCTTTCTGATCATGCACTTTGCCCCCGCCTCAGTGGGTCGTCTCTGGCTGCACAACCGCAATCCCCTCGAGTGGCCACGCATCGATCCCAAGTACTTCTCGGCCCCCGAGGATGTCGAGCATCTGCTGGAGGGCATCAAGGAGGCCATTCGCATCACCAAGATGCCCGCCCTGCAGTCAATTGGTGCGCGGCTCCTGGAACGCCCTGTGCCCGGCTGCGAGTCCCTGCCCTTCGCCTCCGACGACTACTGGCGCTGCTCCATCCGGCACCTCTCGTACACGCTCCACCACCAGGTGGCCACCTGTCGCATGGGTCCCTCGAGCGATCCCAGTGCCGTGGTCAGTCCCCAGCTGCGGGTGCACGGCATGAGGCGACTGCGGGTGGTGGACACGAGCATCATTCCCGTGCCGCCCACGGCCCACACCAATGCGGCGGCCTTTATGATCGGGGAGAAGGCAGCGGACATGATACGCTCCGACTGGAGCTGAGCCACAAATGAATGCATGTAAATGGGTCAATAAAATGCGCAAAGAAAGAAAGTCCCAAAGAAAGCAGAGGGTCAAAACCAGTCAGCAGTCAGCAGTCGGGGTGTCGTCATGACCTAGCTTAATAATGCTCCCAATTTAATGATCTAATTCAAACCGGGTTTGAGGTGTTTTTCCGCAGTTATCAAGTTCAATGACAGTCGAAATGAATAGAGGACGACGTCTGTCTGGGTCCGGCTCTGGCTCTGGCTCGGGCTCAGGCTCTGGGTCTCTGTTGCAGCTCAAATTTGCGTGCCGAGAGGGATGGCCTGCACTGAGGATGCGAGGCCCAGCACGTGCCAAAGTTAAACGAACCCAAACACACCCGAAATGGAATTCGAACACTTAACAAATAAGCAAGCGAGAATCTTGTCATTCTCCCGTCAGATTTGGTCAGGCTTAGAGGCGCAGCCACTGATCGTCGCTTGCTGTACCCTGTATTGGCAGTGGTTCACCTCTGGTTCTAATTTTCAATTAGTTTTGATCTTTTCTTTGATCTTGTTTTAATCAATTTGAAAACTTTGATTTAGTTTCTTTTGTTTTCTTTCATACTAATTGGTCCATGGATTTGTTTGTATTCTTTAACTGGTTTCTGGCATCAATTCAGTTCTCTATTCCTCCAGTTTCTAGTCCGGACTTATTTTGCTCTCATCTTGGACTTGGCGCTGAACAATTTGTCTGTTTTCATCCTTTCCTTTACTTTCGCTCTTTGCTGTGATAATTTTGTTCAAGTGTTTCTTTAAGCTTTTATTTGTTGCTTCTTTTACTTAAATTCTAGTCCATCATTTGGTTCATTTTGTTCATAATTTATTCAGGAGTTTAATTCAATTCCGAGCTCCTTGGGTTTTACTCCTCTGCACTCCTCTGCTCCGCTGCATTTTCCAATTAATTTGTTGCTCAAATCCAATTATTTTCAACCTTAAATTTCCATGCATAAAACAGCCAAAAGCGTCTACAGGGTATGCAGTTTTTATGGCATCAAATACAGGCTGGGGCTTACAGATGGGTGGGGACAGCATTTGATGGGAGTTTAACAGCAGCAACAACACCTAAAAAGGCACCTCCCTGTTGTGGCGACTGAGTCACTCCATTGGGCGTTCCAGGGCCGTGGCTTAAAAGCAACTTCCATCCCCACTCCCAACTCATTTGAGTCCATCAATTGCCCAAATGCAGTCCATCATGAGCAGTCCAGAGAGCCTACTGACCTGCTGCCTCCTCCTGCCGCTACTCCTGCTGGACGCAGTTCAGGCGATCGGCCATCAGAGGCTTCTGGATCAGCTGCAGCAGCTGGGTCTTGTCAATCTGCTGGAGCAGGCCACGCGACCCAATGGTGAGTGGCAGCCAAGATCAGCCGAGATCTCCGTCTAATGCTTTTCAATTGTGCTGCCGCAGTGCCCCAGGATCTGGCCACATACGACTTCATAGTGGTAGGAGCAGGTGCAGCTGGCTGCACGGTCGCCGCTCGTCTCTCGGAGAATCCCAGCTGGAAGGTGGCGCTCCTCGAGGCGGGCGGTGTGGAGAATATTTTCCACTTGACGCCCGTCCTGGCCGGCTATCTGCAGCAAACGGCCTCCAACTGGGGCTACCGCTCCGTGCCGCAGCGCCTCTCTTGCCAGGCCATGAACAACCAGGAGTGCGCCCTGCCCCGCGGCAAGGTCCTGGGCGGCACCAGCGCCATCAACTACATGATCTACAATCGGGGCAACAGGCGAGACTTCGATGGCTGGGCCGCCGCCGGCAATCCTGGCTGGAGCTACGACGAGGTCCTGCCCTACTTCCTGCGCAGCGAGTCCGCCCAGCTGCAGGGGCTGGAACAGTCGCCGTACCACAACCACAGCGGACCCCTCAGCGTGGAGTATGTGCGCTTCCGCACCCAGCTGGTGGATGCCTTCGTGGAGGCTTCGGTGGAGGCGGGACTTCCCCGCACCGACTACAACGGCGAGTCGCAGCTGGGAGTCTCCTATGTTCAGGCCACGACGCGCAACGGCAGGCGACACAGCGCCTACGCGGCGTACATCCAGCCGGTGAGGGACTACCGCAAATCCAATCTGCACATCTTCACCTTCTCGCAGGTCACGCGGCTGCTCATCGATGCGGAGACAAAGTCTGCCTACGGCGTGGAGTTCCGCTACCAGAATCGGGTCTATACGTTCAAGGCCCGCAAGGAGGTCATCCTGTCGGCGGGGGCCTTCAACTCCCCGCAGCTGCTGATGCTGTCGGGCATCGGACCGGCGGATAACCTGAAGGCCATTGGGGTGCCCCTCGTGCAGGCGCTACCGGTGGGGAAGCGGCTCTACGATCACATGTGCCACTTTGGGCCCACCTTTGTGACCAACACCACGGGCCAGACGACCTTCTCGTCCCGAGTGACGGCCGGGGAGGCGCTGTCGTTTCTGCTGGCGGGAAATCCGGCCACGAGGCTCAGCACCATTGGCGGTGTGGAGGCATTGGCCTTCCTGAAGACAGGCCGCTCGACCCTGCCCCAGGACTGGCCGGACATCGAGCTGATCATGGTGGCGGGTAGCCTGGCCAGTGACGAGGGCACTGCCCTCAAGCTGGGGGCCAACTTCAAGGATGAGATCTACGACAGCATGTACAGGCAGCTGGCCCTCAGGCAGCAGGATCACTTCACCCTTCTGGTGATGCATTTCCATCCGCAGAGCGTCGGCCGCCTCTGGCTGCGGGATCGCAATCCCTTGGGCTGGCCCAAGATCGATCCCAAGTACTTTGTGGCCGAGGAGGATGTGGAGTACATCCTGGATGGCATCAAGGCGGCCATTCGCATCTCCCAGATGCCCGCCCTGCAGTCAATTGGTGCGCGGCTCCTGGAACGCCCTGTGCCCGGCTGCGAGTCCCTGGCCTTCGCCTCCGACGACTACTGGCGCTGCTCCATCCGGCACCTCTCGTACACGCTCCACCACCAGGTGGCCACCTGTCGCATGGGTCCCTCGAGCGATCCCAGTGCCGTGGTCAGTCCCCAGCTGCGGGTGCACGGCATGAGGCGACTGCGGGTGGTGGACACGAGCATCATTCCCGTGCCGCCCACGGCCCACACCAATGCGGCGGCCTTTATGATCGGGGAGAAGGCAGCGGACATGATACGCTCCGACTGGAGTTGAGTATTAGAGGAGTGGAGGGGAGTAGAGTGGAGCGGAGCGGAGTGGAGCGGAGCGGGAGGCTTACTTGGAGAGTTAATTAAATGGAATTACCTTAACGAGTGCGTCTGTCCTGCCAGACAGCCGTTTTCTACGTTTGTGTGTGATGTAGGAGAGGGCGCATAGGCCCTGGGGGTTGGGCGGCCTGGAGAGTGCATTAACCCAAGACCGCGACCGCACAAGGGTTGAAAAGCCGCATTGGATGTGGCACAGGCACAGCAGGCACTGGCCTCACCATCATATCATCAACAACAACAGGGGGTAGTTTGACTCGGAAGCTGGTGGGGTCTATCTGTGTCGATGGAGATGGAGATGGAGGTGCAGAAGGGTGGAGGGGAGCTTGACATCAGGGTTGTGCGCATACAAGTGGTTATCACTGTGCTTGTGCTTCCTTTTTCCCTATGGCTACGTAAAAACATTCAATATGCCCCATAGCCAGGACACTGGAGGCGGAAAGCTGTACTGCTGATGTTCAGCAAAGCTTTTGTGTTTATTTGAACACTAAACTTGTACCCGACAAATACCCGTTTTGTTATGGGAAACTTGCACACAGAAAATCCGCCCATAATGGAGCAGAGAAAAGGCAACAGTGGAGAGGAGAATTTATATAAATACTTTAATTATTAATTAACTTAAAGTTATGTGAGTTCTCTTGCGTCTGCCTTCAATGTATCTAAACGAATTATCATAAATTCTCTGAATTTCAAATGGAAATATCCATTTGGCACCCAGCCCTGGCTTACCCTGGCTGCCTGTCGCCCTGTCAACGTGCGGCTTTCTAATTGCAACGTTTGAAAATAAGTCAACAGGCGGCTGCAAAGCCAACACACACACACACACACACACACTGCACCCCCACAAAGGGTGTTCATGTACATGTATGTATGGATGTGTTGAGAGGGTTGAGAACTTACCTGAAACAATTAACGCCTCATTCGGACCCGTAGTGTGTATGTTGCCCATTTTGGATGGATGTTTTGGGTGGGTGTTTTGTTTTCTATTCGATTTTTGTATCCAAAAAGCTCCTCTCACTTCTGGGTTTCCTGCTCTAAACGGAGAAACAACAACAAAAGTGGTCGAAAAAAAACAAAAAAGGGAAATTAAACTTTGATGGACGAGGTTTTAGATGCACTTTCAAACAAACACTTCAAACGGGATAACTATAGTCATATTTGTTCACTTTTCCTATTCGCGCGATGAATGGAACGCCTAAGCGGTGCTATTTTTGTGCTGTTTATTGTATGGCTCTCTTTTCTGCACGAAAGCTAACTGTAATCCAAGCCCGCATAAGCCGCTATGATCGAGGGTAGCAAAGTGGTTCAATGAACGGAGAGGATCACCGCAAATGGGAAGAGTATTCCGTAATGGAATGAACGAATGTGAGCTTTGGTAACGCGGCCCGCAGGTATGCTACGCGGTTTCTCTCCCCGAACTGTTGTTGTTATTGTTGCTTTTCGTGTCGTCTCGTCTCGTCTCGTCTCGTCTCCTCTCTTCTGTTTTGCTTTTATAATTTATCGCATTTTTGTATCTCTTGCTTTTAGAAGCTTTCTGCTTTGGGGCGGCGTCTCCGGCAACTTGTTTAGCATACAAAATGTGTACATACATATTTACATACATGTACGCATATGTATGTACCCACACACTCGATCAGATGGAATGTGCAAAATGGAATTGAATTAATCTGAACAAATTCTCAGTTTTCAATAAAATGTAGAAATCCCCGCTGCGGGGTTCCACTTGATAAACTTTTGCGCGTGATTTGTTTTTATTGTTCATAAAGATGTGCATGTGTATGTATGTACTACATGTGCATACATTTGAATCAAAGTTCAAATAAAAGAAACGCGAGTTTCTGGCAAAAATAGAACCGCGCACCCAGTGGTGAGGGATGGTGGGTAGGGTCGCAGTCGAGTCATGGCAGGGGGCGGCATGACGTAAACGTTGAAAGTGAAATGCGAGCGAAGGGTGCATTCAATATAAGGTAGTGGAGGGCCCCATCAAAAACCATTTCCATTGCCTGCCAGAACTGGACGCGTGCCGGAAGAACCTATGCGTGTGCGTAGAAGCGGCAATGCCTCACCTCGTGCTCAATATACCTTGGGGAGGGCTGGTCGAAGAAGAGAGCAAGAGAGAGAGCGAGAGAGAGAGAGGGAGAGTTTGGGAGTGTGTGGGAGAGAGTGTGTTTGCAGGGGAGAGTGGCTTATCAATGAGCTCATCATTGCTTGGCGTGCCCCTGCACCCCTCACCAATGCACGCGAACTATTCAGATTAGAACAAAAAGATAGAAAAAGGGAATCACAAAAGGGAGACCTAAACACCAAGCACACTCAAACACACACACACACACACACACACAGACACATACTGGGGAAATATTTAACCCTTAGTTAATAATTCTGATTGGGGGTTGCTGTGCCGCTGCAGGGTCTAATAGGAGGTAAACAATGTTTTGTTATTGCGACCTGCTGCTGCTGTTGCTGTACCGGCCGCCCCACTGTAAGCCTCTCCCACAGCACCTCTATCCCCGATTTTGACTATAGCCATTGAAATGATCAGATTTGGTTGGGCAGAGACCCGGCTCAAAACAACAATCGCGCGCGTAGAGGAAACAGCATCCCACAGGCGGCCGCATTTGTTTGCGACGTTTTTCGATTGTTCGATTCCATTTTTCACTCACAGAACAGCAAGAAAAATATTAGAAAAAAATGCGCCTGGGGGCAAACGCGCACAAGTTTAATTGATCTGAGTATCGGCTCTAATTTATTGTTAATGTTTTCAATTAATATTCATTTATTATTGAAAATTTACCGCACAAGAAATCGCACAAACTCCGTAAACCGTCCGTCCGTCGGGAAGGATATTCGATATATATTGATATATCGATAGGTGGAAATATATTTTAAGAAAAAAATATATTGTTCGCTTGCAAGAGCAACGATATTCCTGTGCGATAGGCGGTAATCGATTGATGGCAAAGTGCAACATTAGCAGCTGTGTGGCTTGCCTTTGAATTATCCCAATAAAATAATATAAAAAAAAGTGTGTTTATTGATTAGGCCAACGAATCAAAGTGGTATCACGAACCAGCGCCCTTAAAGCTCGATATAAAAATCAAGCCAAAATATCGCAACATTTCATGCGATCGATGGTGCTTGTCAAAATCACATCACTAGTCAGTGGAGACTCATTGTTGTTGTTTTAAATTAGATAAGTCGGTGGAAAGAAATACATTTAATAAAATGAACAGAATTTGCCAAACATTGTTGCGTCAGAGCTACGCGCGTGCCCCACTAGCCGGCAACCATGCGGCGGCCACTGCAGCACGTTCCATGCGCTGGTACAGCGCCGATGCCACCCCACCGGCATCCGCGGCCGATGTTGTGGACAAATCCACGCTCGAGAAACTGGTGCGCACCAACAAGGTGGTCGTCTTCATGAAGGGAAATCCCCAGGCACCACGCTGCGGCTTCAGCAACGCCGTTGTGCAGATCATGCGTATGCATGGCGTACAATACGACGCCCACGATGTCCTCCAGAACGAGGCCCTGCGTCAAGGTGAGTCCGAGTATTTCACAATGCCAAGTTTATCCACTTGAGCGCATCTTCTTGCAGGCGTCAAGGAGTACACTGACTGGCCCACCATCCCCCAGGTGTTCATCGATGGCGAGTTCGTTGGCGGCTGTGACATTTTGCTGCAATTGCATCAAAGCGGAGATCTGATTGAGGAGCTGAAGAAGGTCGGCATTATCTCCGAGCTGCTGAAGGCAGAGGAGGCCAAGCAGGAGCCCAATGCGGAGGAAAAGAAAAAGTAGTGCCCGGCAGATCATCCAAACATCAAACACCTCCCCCTACAAACCTAATTGTTAGCAATTGTTTATTATTAAATGTTTAACTGATACAGAGACTAATGATAGCAAAAAGTGCCCATCATTTGGGACCAGCTGGCCGCTGCTCGTCTATGCGCTGCAGGGCGGCCAGAATCTTGTCATGGGCCTCGTGCGCCAGCTCGCTCACCTGCAAAATCTCGCAACATTGTCGCCGGTACTCGACATTTGCCATATTTACCACAATCTGCATGAGGCTGTCCGCTATGGAGCGGCGCAGCACATCTTCTGCCGGCATCGGTGGCGCCAGGCGACGTGGACGCCGCATGGGCACTGCCGGTGATGGCGTTTCTTTCAGCAGGTCATCCGTCAGCTGTTGCGATTGCGGCTGCGAGTCCGGTTCAGTCTGAATCTCGAGCTGCGGCTCCGAATCGGTCGCCCAATGTGGCTTCTCCTCTGTGTCCATCTTGTGGCGATGGCCATGCAGCGTGCACTTACCACTTTAAGAATTAAATTACTTTATTTGTTTTGCGCATGCAAAATATAACTGTTAATCCACTTTGTGAAGAGTCTATCGAAGATCAATCGACTATCGAGATCGCGGGTCATGCTTAACCCTTGTGTTTCGGCAAGAAATTATAGCCCCACAAATGTTGAGTTTGGTTTGTTTTATAATATATATATATATTATATATGGACGTATTAATCGTATTCTGGTGAGTATGTACATATATTTTTAAATTAATAATCAATTTTAAATTCAGATGTCAGCTATTAATTAATTGTATGTATAATTATCTTGATAAAGTTGAAACAAATAATTGTTTAATTGAAGAGTGGTACAAATTGAAAAATTTACGAAAGAATAAAAATAAAACTAAAAATTTGATCATGTTTTTTTGAACCTATCAATTTGCCAATATGTTTGCCATAATAATATCAAAAATGTATTTTTCTTATAATAAAATATTACTTCTTATAGGAAATTATGAAAACAATATTACATTTTATTTAGATTTAAAATCTTTTGCTTTAAACGAAAGAAAAATGTCCAAGGTTGATTTGTTGTCACAATTTTGATTTATTTTTAAATATAATGTATATATTTAATCGATATAATATTCAGTTTATTTAATTACATACAATATAATACATATTGATTTAGTTGGTTTTTTGTTTTGTTTTGTTTTGCTTTTTTTTATCTCTCTTTGTATTGTTTTATGTCGATTGCTTGTCGTTTGTTGTTATATGGTATTGTACTTCCTATTTCGTTGCCGCCATAAATAGCCACTGCTTGCTGGTTGCTTGTTGCTCGTTCTATGTCTGTGTGGTGTGCGAAACGTAGGAAGTAATAATTGTAATAATAATAATAATAGTAATAAAAAAAAACTTATGCGATAACTTGCTTATTAGTTAACAATATAATCAAATTTGTTAAAAGCGATATGCCATTTATGTAAAAAAGTTAGTTTCTTGTTAGTGGTTTGTTTTGTGTTTAATACTTCTAAAGTTCAGCTTTGAAAGTAAACAGCGGATTGGAACAATGTATACATCTGGGGAGGGGGGAGGGTGAGGTTATATGGATGTGGATCCGATCCAAAGTCCGTTCTGCTCTTAGTTGCCTGCCTGCGATTGCGATTGCGATTGCGATTGCTGTTGCGGTTGTGCGTGAGTGGAGGAGTGGAGAGAGGAAGGAGTACGGTGCCCGCACAAGGGTTAAGCACACGGCTGACCGCTCACACAATCGACGACTTGTCCAGAATGGACGAGGTGTCCAACAAGTATTCGGTGCTGCTGCTCAGTATATCGTAGAGCTGGTGGGGCGCATCTCCGGCAATCGGATTGCCGAACGGAAAGAACGAGGAGAGCGTCGACAGCTGCATGGCGCCCCCGACCGAGTTGAGGCTGTTCGTCGGTGTGGCCGCCTTCGGCTTGCGTCGCCTCTCCACCCCGTCCACGTACTCAATGGGCTCGCCATCCTGGTCGACATCTGGCGCACCACCGCCACCGCCTTGGGCGCTGATCAGCTGCTGATTGGGCCTCTGCTCTCCTGTGGCTTCGTAGTAGGCATCGGGCAGATCGTCGAAGCTCTGGAGGTCCAGGCAACGCTGCACCTTGGCTATGTTGCCGAGCAGCAGGCGATGGAACAGATCTACCTGGGCCTGGCCCCCGCCTCGGATGTCGAGGACGGGCAGCCACCGATAGTAGCACTGATCCCACACGGCCAGATCGAAAATGCGGTGCGCCGGCAGCAGGTACCGGTCCTGTGGCACCGACGAATGCGTTGCAAACAGCTGCGGATTGATGGTGTTGCGCGACGGCGTCGATGTGGCCAATCCCTTCTGGCCCACGGCCAGCGAGCGTCGATTCTGATGGCCCGCCGAGGATGAGTGGGACATTGTCTCGTTCCGCTGGCGCTGGTAGAGCGGATTGCTGAAGAACATCTTGTCCTTGTCGGTGAACTGCTCGCTCCAGTCCCAGACGGGACGCAGGACCAGCGGTGAGTCCTTGACGGCGCGCACCCGCTGCGCCTGGTTGTCGAACTGGAACGTGTCGAAGATGGGCATGAAGCAGGCGTCCCACAGCGTCGTCAGATATGTCTGGGAGAACTCGAACTCGTCGGGGAACTGCTGCAGCAGCTGCCACACGCAGTCGAGGAACAGCAGGAAGACGGGGCTCTGTTCGCTCTCGAGGACATGCTCGCCGCCAAGGGTCGCCGCGTAGACATGTCCGAGCCGACGCTGGAAGGGATGCTCGAGGGCGATCCACTCCTTCTGCACCAGCGACTGGAAGCCATCGATGCTGCGGAAGTGCGGATCGAGCAGCAGCTGGGTCAGGCTGCTGATCACACAGCACAGGTCCCGGCCGTTCGACTCCTGCAGAACACAAGTGGTGGAAGCGCGCAGTGTGGCCGCCGCCTCGCTGGAGAAGCGCAGACACAGAGAGACATAAAACAGCCAATTGGTCTTCTCCAGCAGCCCCAGGTACTTGTCGTCCTGCATCATGAACTTCTCGGGCGTCTCCGGCGTGCAGAGGCGCCTCAGCTTCTGGTACGCGCGCAGTACGTCCTGTGTGCTCGGCAGACGATCCGTTAGCTGGAGCAGTTTCAGCTGCTTGCGCTCGTCACACTTGCGCACCAGCTCCAGCATGATGTTCTCCACCTTTGTGTCCTGCTGGGCCGCCGGCTGTAGCTCGGCCAGGCGCACCAGGGAGGCGGCACTGCTGCCGTAGCTGTACACCCAGAAGGCGGCACGTGAGTCGCAGAAGGCACGCGACAGGTCCAGGAAACGCTCGACGCTGCAGCTCTTGGGTATAACGAAGTGCGGCGGCACGGAGTACTTGCCCGCCTGCAGGGGATTCTGCAGCAGCTGGACACTGCTGCTGCTCACCACCTGCCACTCGGTGGCGCCGCAGCGAATCAGCTCCCGGGCCCAATCGTTCTTCGTGGCGTACATGCTGACGCCCGAGGCGCCGAGTGTGGAATAGTACGGCTCGCGGTAGGCATAGGCGAAGCTCAGATCGTGCCGCATCGGATAGGCGAAGCGGACCAGGGCCGATGCTATCAGCTTGCCGTGATCGCTGACGCCGCTCAGCTTGGAGTCCTGCTGCTGGAAGGCGAACTTGAGCAGCCGAAAGTTCTTGCAGATGATGTGCAGGGCGGCAATCCGTCCGTTGATCGTGTGCTGCTTGAAGGGCTCCAGCTTCTTCCGGCGACTGCTGTTGCTGGCCATGCGCGCCGCCTGCAGCGCACTGGCCGCCCTGCCCAGCTCCGCGATCGTGTAGATCTGGTCGATGTTGTTCAGGGTGACATCGTTCCGCCCCAGATAGAGGTTCTCCTGGTACAGGTCGCACAGGGGCGCCACTGCCGTCGGTCGTCTGGCATGTAAAGGCACAAATGCCAACTTGAAGTTGGTCACGCTCAGCAGTCCGAATGTGGCCTCCTTATGCGGCGGATTGGACTCGCTGTTGCCAGCACCGCTGCCGCCACTGCCACTGTCCATGGGGTCGATGGGCGAGTACATGTAGGCGGGGGCCGAGGCCACAATCTGTTCGCCCTGCAGCAGCCGGGGCCGGGCCAGATGCACGTCCCTCAGGTCGCTGGGCAGGCACCATTCGTTCGTGTCCGCCGTGGCGCGCATATCGCCCGGCAACGGTGCCACATAGCTGGTGAAGGTGTTCCGCTTCCGATGGTCTGGCATCTCGCTGCTGCCGCCGCCAGTGGCCATCGTCCAATTTGTTGCCCTGGCAATTATTGCTGCGGCACGTCTCTTGAATATTCAATTACTTTTTATTTCCTGCCTGTCTGCCTGGGGGCCTCGTTCCGGATTTCGAATTTGTACCGCTACTCAGAACTCGGCTCTCTTCCTGTGCAGCACATCGAAAAACAAAAACAACAAAACAAATAATAATTAATAATATAAAATACACAAAAGCCACAGACAGAGCGAGAGCGGGAGCGGGCGAGAGATATGCAAGAAATTTAGACAAATGTAGTGGGTGAGAGAAGGAGAGCGAGAGAGACAGTGAACATAGACGAAATTAGAATTATCGTTGTGTGATAAGTTTATCAGTCGAACTTACCGTTCCGATTACCACCACCACCTCTTGGATGTGGGATGTGTGTGTGCGGCCGCTCTATGTGTTTCTCGTTTCCAGCGATCGGGTTGGGTGAGGGTGTGGGTGTGGATGGTGTGTGTGTGCTATATATTACCTGGTCATCTTTCCGTTATATGCTGTACTCATATGCACACACGATGCCTCTTTAATGTGCATTTATTTATTCATTTATTTTCGTTGTCGCCACAATTATACGCTACTAATACGTACGCACACACACACACAAGCGCGCACACGCATGACACTCACACTTAATGCACTTGGCTAGTGTGACCGTGCGCGGATAGGGAGCTAATACCAGCGTCCATTTAAAAACCATCGATATAAATATTAACAGAAACCTGTACTAGAAATAAATCAAATATGAATCAAATAAATGGACAATGCTTTTAAAATTGCAGACAGAAGACAAGTTCTAAGAAAAAATACTTTGAAGATGGAAAACTATTTCCGATACTTTTCCTACTCTGTGTGTCATTGGATGTTGCTAACTATATGAATTATTGTTCTTGGCTTTCAGTCCAGGAATTGAGTCACCATTTTAGATAAAATTATGTTTTCTAACACACAAAACCATCAAAATTGAATGCAGCCCTCAGTATCGATAGCTTGATCGTTTATATTCCATATCTACCTCCCCACATCGTGGCTGGCGGTTTCCCCTTCCAACACACCACACACAAAAAACCAACACACACAAACAACACCAAACAGAACAAGGTAGGCGGCTTCGACCGCAAAAACAAGTAGTCTCTCATTCGGGGAACCAAAAAACTAAAACAAAACGGGAGCACCGGCAGTCAAAATTGTATTTTGAAACAGAAACGTGAATGTTTTGGCCGCGTCAACTTACAGATACAAAAATTAAATTTCTAAATTACATATTCCGACAGTCTGCGACAATTTTTCAGTATCGTTTCCAACCGCAGCAGCAGCAGCAGCAACCACGACACCGAGTCGACAACAGCAGCA